TCGAACAATATCAAGTTTACTGTCATATGACTGAATTATCAGGGTGTGGCCAAGGAGGTTGGACACTAGTGATGAAAGTAGATGGGAACAAGGTATACGGATAATCTTATATCCTAACATAATCTCTTCGAATGCATAAACATGATAAGCAATAGTATATAGAGAAATGAGTAAACTTTTTGCTTTCCAGAATGAATTCAACTACAGCTCTCCTTACTGGACAAACAAGGAAACCTACGCCGTTGAAGATGGACTTGAAGGTTTGAATGAAAAACAGACTAAACTTGCTTCTTACTGGAACACACCGTTTAACAAAATATGCCTCGGAATGAAAGTCAATGGTGCTACAAAATGGATAGCATTAAACTACACCACAAACTCGTTACACAGTGTGATCGAAGACGGGACTTTTAAAGGAACAACTTTTGGGAGGAAAGCATGGAAGTCTCTTATCGATGATTCGTATTTGCAAGAAAACTGTAATGAAGAAGGATTTAATATACAAGGGGTTTACAACTATGGCACGTCGCAGTGGAACATGAAGATACGAATTGGTTTGGTGGCAAATAATCAAAACAACTGCGGTACTTGTGACTCGTGCATTGGCTTTGGAACTTCAGTAAGTGGATGCAATGATGACGTAAGGAACACAACGTGCGGCAACATGGCATTTTGTGGTAATATGAATAATAAGAACACGGCAGCATTTGGATATATACTCGTACAGTAGTATTTGCATGGAACGATTACTATGGACTAGCCGACGCAGATGCAAAAACTGTAGTAGTTACTATAGCAAGTACGAAACGCTTGTTTTGATTGTACCACTTAGTATAACTCTATCATGTATTATATATAGGCCAATATCTCCATCGGGTGTTTGATTGACTGTTTATTTAATAATTATATAGCTTTTAATAGAAAGTTCATTTACTGTATATATCGTTACATTAAATTGTAACCTTCTTTCATCAGTTTGAGTTTGCATACACGCGTGTTTGTTTTAAAAGTAGAATAAGATAAACTTTGACAGTAAAAACTTGTTTCCTATTTATTCTAAACAGTTTCATATCCCTGAGGGGGATGTTCTGAAATGAACATGATAGGTGTTTAATGATCTTTCTGTCTGCATGCCGATTTTGCATGTTCAATCCAATGTTAGCGCCAGAGGGGGTGGAGCAGCCCACCTGCCGGGGGAGCTAGAAGCCCCGTCGCGGAAAAATAGCATCTCTTCGGGGAAGAGCCTATGTTTTGTAAGTGAGTGTTGAAGACAATTGTCTTCTGACGCATGGTATCCTCAAAATGCTGAGAATACCATTTCAGAGACTCAAAATTGAGATTTTTTGGGACAATTCCCCCCTCCAAGGAAGGTTTTTGCCTGTAGGAACTTTGCCCCGTTGTTGGAAAATTCCTGTTGCCACCATGCACTGGTTTAATCCATAGTAGAAACCAATAACGCGTTCCAAACTATTTTCAATAATTCCAAACTACCAAATTCACAAAAAATATCCTTAATTTTGCAGAATTTGACCAATTTTTCTGCACACTTTAACTAAATACATTAAATCACTATAATTTTCCTCTAATATTGCAAGAGAAATTCGTTTTTGGTAAAAATGTGTAAAAATAATTTATTTCAATTTTGCGGAATAGAAAATTTACTGCTGCTTTTAGTAGTTGTTTTGTACATTTTTGCAAACTTTATATATTTCCACCTTAAAATCAGATAATATTTATAAATTTGGAGGAAAGGTTAATTTCCCTCCTCAAAAATCACAGAATTTTATGTCAACCTTTAAGATTTCCTCAAAATCCCTTATTTATAAAATAGATTTTTACAATCTTCAAAAAATACTCAGGTATAGTGAATATATAGTAAGAGATAAATTCGGTGTCTGAATTTCAGACACCGAAAACGGTTTGAGTTTGTCAAAATCATATATAAATACCAACCATGCAGACTGAGATAAATTTGGGTGTCTGAATTTCAGACACCGAAAACGGTTTCAGTTTGTCAAAATCATATATAAATACCAACCATGCAGACTGACATAAATTCGGTGTCTGAATTTCAGACTGACATTAATCATATATAAATACCATCTAAAGATAGGTACAGTGTCGCCGAATTTCAGACACCGAAGTCGGTTTGAGCTTGTCAAAATATATTTTGAGATATATTTTAGGTAGGCTACTAGCTAAATTTCAGACGCGAAACCAACCAGATAAATTGCATGCTATAGCAGAATTGCAGACAGCGAAATCGGTTCGAGTTTGTCAAAATCTTAATATAATATTAACCAACCATTATATTCAGTGACATAGCTAAGCGGCAAGGTTGTCGTTTGTTGATATATCTTCACAGCATGAGTGTTGTTGAATATTCACACTAAATATTTCTGACTAGCCATGCTATTGCCATGTACAGTGGCTATAAACAATAATGAACTAGAAAAAATATGAATAAGGTGTCGACGCGTTGAAAATAAACTTAACCCAGAGATAATTTACTATAGTCAAATGAAGTGTAATGCATTTGAAGGTCTTCACTGTTAATTTTAGGGTGTTAAAATAACACCAAAAAGTGGTGTTAAAAAATTAGGTAAAAAATAACACTACTTTTTGGTGCTATTTTAACACCACTAAAAAAGTGTTAAAATAACACTAGTTATGGTGCTAAAACAACACCCATTTTTAGTGTTAAATTAGCACTAGTTTTGGGGGTTAATTTAACACCTGTTTATAGTGTTAAACTAACACCACTTTTAAGTGCTAAAGTGACACCAGTTTTAAGAGTTGATTTAACACCTATAGTGTGGCGTTAAAATAACACCTGATTTGGCAGTGCCAAAGCAACACCTCTTCCTATCTGGTGCTAAAATAACACCAGATTTAAGGTGTTGATTTAACACTTTCAACCAGGCACATTAAGACACACACAAAAGAGAAATATAGGTTCAAAAGTGGTTATTATTATAAATTACTCGCTGACAAGAAATACCTTTAACATGCATGAATTTATATGAACTAAGTATTTATCACGATTAATTTCAGAGTCCAAGCGCACTTAAAAGTTGTTGTACAGAAATTTTGTTCTCGGCATCAGCAGGGCGGTTTAAGGTGACAGCTTCTAAATTCTAGAAATGCATAAACACTCGAAACACCTGGAGTGTATTCCATATTTAGAACATGGAATGTAGCAATAAGTATGTGGAATATTTTTACCAGCAAACCGCAAGTAAATTTGCCCCACGGCAGCAATGTACAATGGGTCCAAGGATGCAATGTCACCTGATGCCAAGATTCAAGGATAGCTATACTGTAGGTTGATTTCCTCACTTCTTCATCAATGGACAATGGGGTCGTCATCCTAAAAGTATTCATTTTCACATTAGTCTATACAGTATATATATTTAGTAATTTTAAATGTTGTCAAGTTCTAATGCAAATGCTGTATTCTGATTGGCTTTATGCTACTCGTTATCTAATTGTCAATGAGATAGCTAGCTAGAGCGCAAACCATCTCTTTGTTGAGACAAATAAGCATTGATCACATGCAATGATAGGATAAGAGATGTGCCATCTCACCTTAACACTACATGTAGCAATTTTAATTACTTCAAAAGGAGTATGCACAGTATATAACAAAGGGTAGCCATTGAGCAAGTGTCCCTTAACTATATAATTAATCACTGTTACAGTTCAATTCCATTTTGCCATTGAAAAATAATGTCAATACATCGTCATTTCAAGAATGAAAAACTACTTCATTATAATGTTACCCGTGTCAAATGGGTCATTTGTCCAGGACGGATAAGAGATGTGCCATGATCTCACCTTAACACTACATGTAGCAATTAATATTTTTCAAAAGGAGTACAGTATCTAACAGGGAAGCCATCGAGCAAGTGTCACCTAGCTTAACTATATAATTAGTCACTGGTACAGACTGGCCCGTACAGTCCAATTGCATTTTGCCATTGAAAAATCATATCGATACATTGCCATTTTAAGAAAGAAAAATTACCCCCATTATAGTGTTAATTAACTGTGTCAAATGGGTCATTTGTCCTGGATGGATAAGAGATGTGCTATCTCACCTTAACAAGTGCTACATGTGGCAATTATTCTACTTTAAAATGAGAATCTGTTGCAATAAGAACTTATTAGGTTAGTGTATCTTTTGACATGGTCGAGAAAGAGAATTATGTTTGGGGATTTTATAATGTGAACATTATATCATAATCAATATTTTCACTCTTAAATATTAATACTCAGGACTCTCCCATTGATAGCCCAATGATAGGTAAAATTATCTCTGTCATTATACCGTAAACCTCCGACTATAAGCCCCCCTCGACTATAAGCCCTCCCCCCGAATATAAGCCCCCCGGAATATAAGCCCACCACATATACTAATGCTCAATTCATTCCAAATATAAGCCCCCCCCCCCGAACATAAGCACACCCAAATATAAGCCCCCCAAATATAAGTCCCCCGAATATAAGCCCAGTAGCCCACTATGTTATTCAACATTTTCATTGTTTTTTAATATAGCAGAGAACGATATTTAAAAACATTGTCATTGTCTTTATAGCCGACTATATGTTATGTTAATCAAAGCACGTTATTAATGGATGTATATTTTCCTGTTTATGACTGACTTGTTTATGTCTGATTTGTTTATTACTAACACAAAAGATCATCCATGTATTAGCCCCCCCCCGAGTATATAACCCCCCGCCCCCTTGTATAAGCCCATCAAAAATCGCTTACGAAAGTATATAAGCCCAGGGCTTATAGTCGGAGGTTTACGGTATAAGATCCCCTTGGCAAATTAGATGAAAATTGTCTGCGTTAGCCAGAATAAAACAATAAAATAAGGTATATTTGGGAACATTGCAGCTTAAATTAATGGTTAAAAATCAAATATAAAATTCGAGTTGGCAAAAATATTCATGAAACACCAGCTCAGGTCCAGCTGTGTAGTATACTTAGTACCTCATCTCACATACAGTATTAATAAAATAAATTCCATCGTTCAGTAATCAATATAAAACATTACCGTTTCGGTTTGCCATTGAAATTTAATGAATAAAGTATTGTTGGTCTGTGTTGTTGTGCGTAATTTGAATAGAATGCACAAAATCTTGCATTCCTATATGTATATGATATAGTTGAGGTTGGGTATTTAACAGCCGCATTTCCCGATTTTCCATCTCAGGTTCTAAAATACTTGTCTTTATAATTGAAATGAAAGCAGTAAACGCAAGATAAATCAGACAAAACTACAGTACTTGTAAATCAAAACGCGCGCAAGTTTTCTTAACTGAGACTGCAATGGCAATGAGAATAGCCTCAGCATAATGGCGGTCGTATTGTAAATACGACAATCGCAGACAACAATCACTATAATTCTCGCAGTATTATAATAACTCACCTTATTCCTTTCGACGTTTATCACATCTTTGAAGTTACAGGCGAACTAATTCTAAAGCATTGACGCTGTGAACTACACGTTTTGAATTGCATTGGCGGCCAGACCTTTGTCATTCAAATACAAACAGCAACCTTGCTCGCTTCTTCCTCACACTGTTTTAAAGCCATCTTTATGCTTGAAATATGAATATACTAAAGCCATTTTAATCAGTTTGTATCGCTTCCATCCCACTGACACTTA